GAGTCTGACCAAATTGCAATCTAGTATTCATGTCAACACATTTGTAAACACTTTTGTAGAAGAACCTTGCTATCTACTTTAAATACTAGAAATGTTGTTACTTCCCTTTTGAGATTTTAGTTAAACTTTATTCCTAACTGTGTGTGTGTGTGTGCGTGTGCATGTGTGCATGTGTGTGTGTGTAATGACGATCTCTATAACAATGATAAATAACATATTTGATTAGGGGCCTCTTTTAGCTCTGTGGTAAAATCTATTAGTTTGTTAGCTTATGGTCTTAAGCCTAATTCTCAATCATTAGCAAAAGGAAATGTTGACTGTTTTTTTCATTCGGTGAAACAGATGGGATTCTCAAACTGAGTATTAAATAAAGAGGATAATAAATAAGGGCAGCATATATGGAGGCATACCAGCAAAGCCATAGCACAGTAAGGACCTGGGAGTTAGTAGTAGTGGGGTACCATCATATCTGCGGGCCTGAAGAGGCAAAAGTGGAGGAGTAGTTACCAGAAATACGAAGCAGAAAGGACATTTGGAGACGGCTGCGGGAAAGAACTGGCCTGTTGTTGAGGGAAAATGCTAGCCCACAGCAGGCTTGCAGGAAGGAAACAGGGAGATAAATAATCCAACTTCATTCCTCTCTTCCATCTTTCTGCAGGGAATTCCAGAAACCAACCCCAAAATGGAAGCCAGAGGTCAAGGGAATCCATTTTCTTAATCTATACATGTTAGACTAAGGGGCCTTGAGTAGTGAAGAGAAAGAGAGAGTCTTGACCTAGATGGGCGACAAAATATCCAGCCTAGTGATCGTGGATCTCTGTTATAAAATTTAAGGGTGATATGGATAAATTTTATTTAGCCATAAATAAAATCCAAATCTCATGTTGAAATGTGATTCCCAGTGTTGGAGGTGGGCAGTGATTGGATCATAGGGGCAGATCACTCATTAATGGTTTAGCACTGTCCCCTTGGTGACAGTGGATTCTCACTCAGCGAGTTCACAGGAGATCTGGTTGTTTAAAAGTCTGGGACCTCCTCTCCTTTCTCTCTTTTACTCCCTCTCTTGCTGCGTGACATTGCTTGCTCTCCTTTGACATTTTGTCACGACTGGAAGCTGCCTGAGGCCTCACCAGAAGCAGATGCTGGGGCCATGCTTGCATAGTCTGCAGAACTATAACCGGGTTGAACCTCTTTTCTTTATACATCACCCAATCTGAGGTGTTCCTTTATAGCAATGCATGAACAGACTAATACAAAGATTATTTGTAAAAATTAAAGTAGGCCAGGTCCAGTGGCTCATGCCTATAATCCCAGAATTTTGGGTGAGTGAGGTGGGAGGATCACCTGAGACTGGGAGTTTGAGACTAGCTGGGCAACATAATAAGAACCCCATCTTTACAAAAAGTAAAAAAAAATTAGCTAGGTGCAGTGATGTATACCTGTAGTCCTAGCTACTTGGGAGGCTGAGGCAGGAGGATCACTTGAGCCCAAGAGATTGAGGCTTCAGTGAATTATGATTATAATTGCAGCACTGCGCTCCTTCTTGGTGACAGCGCAAGTTGCCTAAAAAAAATTAGAGTAATTAGTATTCATGTTCATTAGATTAAAGATCTAATCATTTATTTATTTATTTTTAAATTCTTCTTGGAGACAGAGTCTCATTCTGTCACCCAGGCTGGAGTAGAATGGCGTGATCTTGGCTCACTGCAATCTCCGCTTCCTGGGTTCAAGCAATTCTGCCTCAGCCTCCTGAGTAACTGGGACTATAGACGCACACCATCACACCCGGCTAACTTTTGTTTTTTAAGTAGAGACGGGGGCGGGGGGGCGTTTCACCATATTGGTGAGGCCGGTCTGAAATTCCTGACCTTGTGATCCACCTGCCTTGGCCTCCCGAAGTGTTGGGATTACAGGCATGAGCCACTGCGCCTGGCCAGAACTAATCATTTATTTAAGGGCTCTTTAAGGTGTAAGACTATTCTTTATCACAAAAATATAAGCATTTGAGTTTGTCTCTGTCCAGTATGGTACATGTGACCATTTAAATTAAGATATATAAAATTAAATAAAATTATAAATTTAGTTCCTTAGTGCTCACTCACTGCATGAGGCTAGTAGCTGCCGTATTGGGCAGCAGAAGTAGAGGACCTTGCCATCATTACAGAAAGTTCTGTAGGATAGTGCTACTCTAGTTATTTAATCGTTAACTGCCTAACTTCTTTCCTTTCTTTTGACTCAAAGTGGAAGTAAAATGACTTTTGTGATGAATCATTTTTTTCTTGAAATCCTGGGCCCCAAAAGTATTAGATTAGTATCTGAAACTACCTTATTCTGAATGAGTTGGAGTTATTTGGATATATGCAAAAGAAAGCACTGGCCAACTCAAGCAAAAATGGAATATATTGAAGAGATCTGTTAACACCTTCGTTTTAGCCCAGTCAGCCTGATTTTGGACTTCTGACCTCAGAATTATAAGATAAAAAAATTGCTCCTTAAGCTTCTAGATTGTGGTAATTTGTCCTAGCAGGAATAGGAAACGAATACAGTATTTCAAAGGTTCGTGGTCCTCCAAGGTTTAACTCTCCAAGACAAAAATCTTCATTAGGGAGAATTTAAATTGAATCGAATTTTTCTTTCTTAGTGAGGTGATAATAAAAGGTTGAGAAACACTGATATGGAGTTTCCCAAATATTTCTACCTCTTACATTATCTACAACCAACCTAAACGGTACTCATACCTTTCCCAAATGGAAATAGACTAGAATTGGGATTGGTTCCTGCATCTTGCTCCACGTATGGGGATATCTGGGCAAAGTTTATTCCTGTGTGGTTTCCTTGAGATCAATTTTATCCTCATATTACTTACATTATGTGCTAAATGGCAAGGTTAGTCACTATCACTAGACACCATTTTCAATGTTGGTGGAGGGAAATGTGATAGAGAAAGGAAATGACAAAGAGAAAAATGGCTCAGCAATTAAGGGAATATGAGCAGGATTAGCGTTTCATCTTTTGCAATTATGATTTCTTCTGTACTGCCTTTTCCAGTTCCTTTTGTCTTTGGTAGGGAGTGTTTGCCCAGTGATATGCACCAAATTCATTCTTTAAATATCTGAAACCCTGCTGGTCCTTCGTTTATTGTATTTGTTTTTAACCACATGTTTTAAGCACAGTTGTAAAAGAAGGTATCCAGGGAATTACCTGACTTTCAGCTATTCCCCCTGATCCTATATAATAGCAGCAGCTTCCTCAAGGCAGTGGTCCACACTGGAACACCTACTTTTGCCTATTTTTCCAGTGATATAAAGATCTCTAAATAGTCAAGTAGTACTCATAGCTTCCATTTCAGCAGATACTTGCTGGGTGCCCTGCCGGAGAAATTCCTTCCACTTCCTTGTGTGGTTTAAAGTGCCCGAACAACTCAGATATGTGGATCTGGGAGACAAAATGCATCATAACTAGAAAATTATGTATTATTGGGTAAAAGCTGAATTGAGCTAAACTTTTGAAAGGACATGAATTATTTTAAGAAATGGAGTGACATGGTCAGTTTTGTATTCAGAAAATAGTACTGCATTAAATTTACTTTCTGAGTTATTCTTTGTTTAATTAGCTGATGATCAATATACCTCAAAGTAAGATTTGCATTTACTCTGCCAGTTCTCCAAGCTGCTACCAACCTGGAACCACCATAAATTAAAATGTTCTCTTAAGGTTTTTTTTTTTTTTTTTCCTTCTTCAAATCGTGCAAATAGTATGGCTTCAGATTGCAAACATGCTTTAATAATTGCATATGGCTCTAAATTACCAGAGTAAATAGAAGTGTTTTCCTCTTCAAGGGAACATAGATGAAATAGGTGAGTATCTTTTCTGTTCCAGTCTGTACAATGAAGCCTATGTCTCACCCACAGTTACATTGTGGGTGTAGAAGGAATCACTTAGATTACACATACTTGAGGAGGCCTAGGATTTATGTCACATTCCCTACCTTCTGAGCAGGTGTCAGAGTGGAAGCTTAAGGCCTTAAAGCTTTAGTAATAGTCTTCAGGTTAAAAGTCAGCCTTGGCACTCCTTTATCTCCTAGACTTTCCAGGTTGTTTCACTTTTGAAGCTTGATGTCTTCATTGCTTTTGTGTTAGCTCAGTGATTCATTTAAAAAATGCTTAAAAATTTATCTGACATCTTATTCAAAAGTGTTGTTCAGGGTATCTAATCTGCCATACTGTCAAGTACAGAAATTCTCCCACTTTTATTTCAAAGGTAAGAAAAAAGACTCGGAGTTAACATGGCTTTCCTAGGATCACACGGTTGTTTTGAACAATGACATATGCTCAGTAGATACTAATTTTAAGGCAAGAAGAGTGTCAGCCTTTCTGAAAATGCCTGCCACCTTGTTTTTACCTCTGTACTTAAAAGAAATCAATGTCTTGATCAAAGATGATTTGACTATAACAAATACAGCCTATTAAAAATATACTGAGCCAGAAAGAAGATTCAGGTTATAGAACCCAAAGGCAGGAGGTGCAGTTTAACCTCAGAAGGCATTGCCATGGGTTGTAAAAAATTATCCAAATTCAAGTCAGTCACTCTCTCTGCCTCTCCTGTCCTCAAAGTCCCCATCTCTGCAATTCTCTTGCATTTGCTTCATTCTCTTACTTCTGCTAACTGACTTTCTTTTTGTCAATTTGCATAAGGTGAATAATGACCTTTTTTTTTTCTATCACCATAGTTAAAATATGGTGTACTAAATAAACATTTAAAGCTCCAAAATGTAGAGTTCTTTGGGGATCAAAAAACAATTGACAAATATACCCCTAAAAAGTGGGGAAATAAAGGCATAAGGTCAGGGAAATCCTCTAGAGATAGGTGGGCAGAGTAGGTAGAGGGAAGAAGCTGGGGCAGATGGAAGGAAGGGCTGAGGTGGGACTCATGGCTCAACAGTGCCCTGCCCAGACCCCAGGACCAGTGTCAGATCCAGCCCTGTTCTTAGCTTCCAGCTTTCAATCCATCAAGGCCTTGAAGCTCAGAAAATGAGGAAGAAAGGGAAGCCTGGAACTCTTCAGATGCTGTTTCAGAGCACCTTGCAGAGATATGATTACCCGACACACAGGAGAAACAGTCCCTGAGTCCTGGGAGCAGCTGAAGCCAGTGTCCCCCGTGCTGCTGCTGTGCCCCAAGGGCTGACCACCCGCCATGAGCGCCGTGAGGTGCGGGGACAGGCCCAGGTCTGTGACCCTGTTGGAAATGCTGAAGAGCCTGGAAATCCTCTGTCGCTGCACAAACGGCTCCCGATAATACCGGCCCCCAAAGCACATGCCCAGTAGTTCTTTGCGAACCATCTTGTTCCAGAGTCCATAGATCAGAGGGTGGCAGACAGCGCTGGCAAAGGACAGCCATGTGGCCCAAGTCTCCAGGCTCAGAGAGACGGAGCTCTTCCCCCAGAGTGCCTCAGAGGCAATGACAACCATGTAGGGGCCCCAGGTGACCATGAAGGCACCGAGGACCACCAGGATGGTGATGAGGGCTTTGCACTGGTTGGCTGAGTAGACCACACCCTGAAAGGCGTTCCTCCTACTGCCTGAAGAGGAGGTGGAGGTGCTGGAGTTCTTCCTCCCGGTCCTCTGGGCATCCTCCTCCACGATGACTGTGCCGCAGTGCACCTTGCGTGCCTTGACCCTGGCCACGCGGAAGATGAAGCCATAGCACACCACCATGACCAGAAAGGGGAAGAGGGCACACCAGATCTGCCAGAAGGCTGTGTAGCCAGGCTCCTGGTGCCAGGCAGCCACACACATCCACTTGAACTCGTCAAACCCCACCGACGACCAACCAAACAGGGGTGGCAGGCAGCCGATGAGGGAGTGAAGCCAGATGTACGCGAGTGCCAGCATGGCTCGGTTCCCTGTGATCTTCATGGGGTACACCATGGGGTACAGGACAGCATGGTAGCGGTCAATGGGAATGACTCCAAGGGTGAGCATGCTGGCCGAGCTGATCAGCAGGTAGAGGAGGGCGGAGAATTTGCACCAGACGACACCAAAGATCCATTCCCTGCGGATACAGCTTGTCACCACGAAAGGCAGCACCAACAGGGACAGCAGGAAGTTGGACAGGGTCAGGCTGAAGACGAACTTGTTGCTGAGAGTGAGGAGGTAGGACTTCTTGTACAAGGTGACCACGATGACCAGGTTGCCCAGGCAGACAAAAATGGTGATGACAATGATGGCGATGAACTGGGTGAGGATGACGCCCGTTCGCCGCCCTCCTCCTCAGTGAGGTTACTCAGCTCCTTCCTGCAGCCGAGGGACGAGTTGAGGCTCATGGTCAGTGCACCTCGGCATGGTGGGGACAGAGCATGCTGGATGACTAGGAGCAGCCGCCGGGCAGCTCAGGCCCAGCCCGGCCGCCTCCCCGCCTCGGCCACCGCAGCCGCCGCTTCCTTCCTCCCGGCACGCTCGAGGGCTGGAGGTTTCGGGTTTCAGCCCGCGGAGCCCCGCTTTGATCCTCCCGCGGGCCAGCCACCAGCATGCGGACCCAGGCGGCGGCAGGCCAAGTAACTTTGCGGGGCCCGAGCCCCGCCTCCCCCGCACCCGGCCGGGCCCTTCCGGCCCCCGGAGCCCCGCCCCGCCCCGCCCGGCTCTCACTTTTTTTTTTTAGATGTGTAGATGCACTTTTACCACAGGCACATTTGTTTTGCTACTAGCTCCTCCACTTTCTATTAATCATATCCAAAATTTCTCTACCAATTATGTCCCATGCTTAGCTCCCATCAGCTTGAGTATCACCATCTATAGAATCATGGGCATCAGAGCACATGACTCCTTTGCAGAAGCTGGGAAAGAACTTCCTCTCAACAGTGCTAGGCATTATAGCCTGTGGGAACAATGCAACAAATCCATCTTATTCCTCAAAGCACAGGAGTCTGTCATAACAGCCTACTTGTCCTCAGGATGACTTCTAGTCCAGAGAAAATGTAGGGATCCAGGCCACCAATTAGGACAATAAAATCCTTGCATTGTTTCCTAGGAGGCCTTGGGCAGCAAGGCAAATTGGACTAAAACCAGAATGAGAATTACTCTCTGTAATTTTACTTTTCCTGCACAGGCCAACAATATTGGGGCCCCCAAAAAGCTGTCCATTCTTTTAGGTAAGAGCCCAAATGTGTTTTCCCGCCACCTCATACAGCAAACCAAACCCTAAGACTAAACATAGATTTTTAAATACAGCCTTTATTACCACACAAACTAGAGCAATGTGAGGTAGCCAGTTACCAGGTGGTGACTTGTAGGGTGCAAAAACTACCACATGTCATGTGAGAACTAGAATTTCCATGAAGGGAAGCCTTCCACATCAGTTTCCAGCAGAACCCAGGCGGGGTCCTTCTGGCCAAAGCTGGTCAGATATATGCTGCAATCAGTCAAAAAAGGGAATGAATTCCCCTTAAAGGCTCAGACTGCTCAAGGAATTTCCTCCAAGGAATGGGAGAACACAGGTTATCTGCCTTGCCTTAGTATGCAAAGGTGACTAATGATTTAATTCCAGCAAAGGCTTCCAGCAGTTGAGAATGTACAAAGGAGCTCCTGGAAGATACACAGGCCTGGAACTCATGGGCGTCTCACCCATCTGGAGGTCTAGAAGTATGAGGTTTAGGCAGATGGCTCCTTCACAAAGGCTCTCTATAGCTGTAACACTGAAGAAAGAGATGGCACATTCCCCGCAGGTATAAGGCTTTTCTGAGGTGTGGAGTTACACAATGTTAGATCTTGGGCTAAAGAGTTTTCCACATTTGCTGCTTTCACGAGGTCCTCCACAGTGTGAAATTTTTGGTGGAGAATGAGGCCAGAGGGTTGTGTAAAGGACTTCCCACATTTGCCACACTCATGTGACCTTTCTCCAGTGTGAACCACCTAGTGTTGAATGAGGCTAGACTGTTGGATAAAGGATTTTCCACACTGTCCACAGTCGTAAGGCCTTAATCCAGTGTGAATTTTCTGGTGTTCAACAAGGGTATAGCTTTGTCTAAAAAATTTCCCACATTCACTGCACTCAAAAGGCCTTTCTCCAGCGTGAGTTCTCTGGTGCCAAACAAGTTTAGATCTGAACATAAAAGCTTTCCCACATTCCCCACATATGTAAGGTCTTTCTGCAGTGTGAACTTTGTGGCGTTTATTAAGGATAGTTCTTTGGCTAAAGGATTTTCCACACTGGTCACACTCAAAGGGCCTAACTCCACTGTGAATTAACTGGTGCTGAATGAGGCCACACTTTAAGCTAAATGGTTTCCCACACTGGCCACACTCATAAGGCCTTGCTGTAGTGTGAATTCTCTGGTGTACAAGGCTGAAGCTTTGTCTGAATAATTTCCCACATTTGCCACACTCATATGGCTTTTCTCCTGTGCGAGTTCTCTGGTGCCAAACAAGAGTGGATTTGGACCCAAAGGCTTTTCCACATTCATCACGCTCATAAGGCCTTTCTCCAGTGTGAATTCTGCAATGTTCAATAAGGTTAGAACTTTGGCTAAAAGATTTCCCACATTCACCACACTCATAAGGCCTTTCTCCAGTGTGAACTCTGTGATGTTTAATGAGGGTGGCTCTTTGGCTAAATGATTTCCCACATTGACCACACACATAAGGCCTTTCTCCAGTGTGGATCCTCCGATGGTCATTCAGATGAGAGGTTTGGCTAAAAGATTTCCCACATTCACTGCACTCATAAGGCTTTTCTCCAGGGTGGACTCTTTGGAGCTGAACAAGGGAGCACTCGCAGCAGCAGGCCTTCCCACATTTGCTAGATTCATAAAACCTTTTTCCAGTGCAGACTCTAGGGTGAACAAAAGTGTGTTTGTGGCTGGAATCTTTCCTGCATTCACCCGCCTGATGGAGATGCAGCCCCAGCTATCTGACTTCATGTGAAAGATGGCTAATGCAGAAGTGAGTGTCCCAGTGGGGGATGTGGTTGTAGTACCCACTGAAGGAAATGAAAGGGAGAACCCTGAAGACATTACATGCCTGTAATCCCAGCACTTTGGGAGGCTGAGGTGGGAGCATTGCTTGAAGCCAGGTGTTCAAGACCAGCCTGGACAGCATAGTGAGACCCTGTCTCTCTCCCTGCCCTCTTCACTCTCTCTCTCTCTCTCTCTCTCTGTATAAAATAAATGTGATAGAAATATACTATGACATGGAAAATATATGTTTCTAAGAAGTCAGAGACTATATTACTTACCAATGTAGATATCATTCCTAACTAATACAGTGCTTGGAACCATGTATGTGCTCAATTATTACTTGTTGGCTGAGTAGACAAGATAAATATTCTATTTGTTCCAAAAAGAATAAATGACATAATACACTGTCTTGGACTTTTTATTTTACTTTTCAGGGTATGATCAGGTGAGTAAAATAAAAATAATTGTGATATCAAATTGATTTGTAATTCAGACTTGGAAACCAGTAGTTTCTGGGTCATTAAATGATGGTCAAGGCTGAATCTACATAATCTACATTAAATGCTAGTTTGACCCTGAAAACCTGTCCAGGACTCGCTGACATTAAAAAGGCAAGGAATTATGAACTGTAGCCTTCCTGGATACATAATTTATTTCCTTTCATATGACATTTACCTTGAATACTGATAAGTATATTAGAATACCATAAATAATAAGTCAGATAAGCTTGTTTTATTTTGGAATTTTAAAATAAAAAAACTTAGGGAAGAAAGGGTATAATAATGGAATGAACTGGATTATGAAATAACATATTTTATAATGGCAAAATTAAAATAAAATTTTAACTATGATCTTCATATTTTATCATATAACTAGAACCTGGAAGTTGTCAGTTGATGATCTGGGATATTTTATTATTGATAATCTTTTAGATTAAGTTTCTAAAGGGTAAGTAGGGATAATGTGTTATCCAAACAACCTTTTATTTTTAAAAATTTTTTGAGGTAAAAATATACATATATAATTTCCCATCTTTACTATTTTTAAGTGCAGAGTTTGAATACATTTACATTCTTTCCCCCCTTCATTCCCATGACCCCCACTTCTGGGTTCTGGTAATCAGAACTCTACTTCCTGTCTTCATGAGATTCACTTTTTAGCTCCTGCACATGAGTGAGAACATGTGATATCTGTCTTTTTTGTGGTATTCTTCTTTGAATTCCCAAGACCCTTTTTTTCGATGTTTATTTTAGATTCAGGAGGTACATGTACAGGTTTGTTACCTGGGTATATTGCTTGATGCTGAGACTTGGGTCACCAATGATCCCGTCACTCAGGTACTCAGCATAGTACCCAATAGTAGTTTTTCAACCAATTTCCCTCTCGCTCCCTTTACACCCAGGATATCCCAGTTTCTGTTGTTTCCATCTTTATGTCCATGAATACCCAATATTTAGACTCACTTATAAGTGAGAACATTATGACTCCCTGTTCCTGCATTAATTCTCTTAGAATAATGGCCTCCCGATGCATCCATGTTGCTGCAAAAGACACAATTTCATTCACTTTTATGGCTGCATAGTATTCTATGGCGTATAACAACATTTTCTTTATCCACCATTGATATGCGCCTAGGTTGATTTTGTGTCTCTGCCATGGTGAATAGTATTGCAGTGAATAGTGTTGCTGTGAGCATGTGAGTGCACCCATCTGTCTTTGGTAGAACACTGTTTTTTTTTTTTTTTTTTTCAGATTTAGATCCAGTAATGGAATTGCTGGGTCATATGGTATTTCTGTGTTAAATTCTTTGAGAAATCTCTAAACTGCGTTTCACAGTGGCTGAGCTAATTTCCTTTCTCACCAACAGTGTGGAAGCTTTCCTTTTTCTCCACAACCTCACCAGCATTTGTTTTTTGACCTTTTAAGAATAGCCATTCTGGCTAGTATGAAATAGTATCTCTTTGTGGTTTTGATTTGCATTTCTCTGATGATTAGTAATGTGGAGCATTTTTTCATGCTAGTTGACTGCTTTTATGTTTTCTTTTGAGAAGTGTCTGTTCATGTTTTTTGCCTTTTTAATGAGCTCTTTTGTTTTTTGCTTGTTGAATTGTTTAAGTTTCTTACAGATTCTGAATATTAGAACTTTGTTGGATGCATAGTTTGGAAATATTTTCTCCCGTTCTGTAGTCTGTCTGTTTACGCTGCTGATAGTTTCTTTTCCTGTGCGAAAGCTCTTTGGTTTAGTTAGGTCCCACTTGTCAATTTTTGTTTTTGTTGCAATTGCTTTTGAGAAATTAGTTATAAATTATTTCTCAATGCCAATGTCCAGAATGGTGTTTCCTAGATTTTCATCTAGGATTTTAATAGTTTGAGGTCTTACATTTAAATCTTTAATTCATCTTTAGTTAATTTTTGTATATGATGAAAGTTAGGGGCTGAACACAAAGCATGGCCCCATTCTGTCTTCACAGGAAAGTGTAACTAATAATGGTTAAACCTTTGTTAATCAGATAACCCAGTGTTTTTGGCTAAGAACCCACCCATTAAGATCTTTGTGATTGTTTGAGTGGAAGCACTTTAGACTTCTTCCAAAATCCATCTCAGATATCATTCCCTTCCCTTAATAAGGTGTTATAGTGCAGGGTTGCTTTAAAAAATGATCGGGCCATTCGAATGGCAAGAATGTCACCAAAAATATTATATAACAATTTCATTTTCCATGGGGGCAAAAGGACAAAGTGCTAAAGACAGAGGCTTCAATTTCTGTTTTGAATTAAATGTATCTTGAAACAAGAGGCAATAAATCCTTGGTTGACTAAGGCAATATGTAAGATAAAACACCTTTTACAGAATCCATCTTGAAAAGTATAAGCTAATGACAGGCAATCAGTTGTTTCTCAAGAAGAGATAATGACGTAGTTAAAAGCCTTAATGCTGATGAGAAATGGGCTTGCTGGTGCTTTAGGGGATAAAATAGGTTGTCTGTAGTAAAAGAGGTTTAAGTTTTCAGGAAAACTGTAAGTGCAATAAGATATCATTGAAATGAAATATTAGGGAATGTTAAATCTTGGGTCAGAGCAATAGGCCCAAAAATCATTTTCTTGGGTTCATCTTTGTTAGATTAAGTGAGGCTCAGTTTTATGCTTACCCACTACTTTCTATAACTTTTATCCTTTAATTTCCTATAAATGGCACTGACCTCTGTATCCAGCCTTGATTTTTCTCCTGACCTTGAGAATCATAGATACACATTCCTGTTGAACATCTTCCCTTGGATGTCCTACATGGTCTTAAATTAATATTCCATTCTTTTTCCTTTCCCCAACTGCTACCCAAGAACAGTCTTTTTCTTCCCCCGCCCCCTCCAGTAATCCAGTCACTGTTAATGACATCACCATTCATTTAGCTGAGAGTTTTCCTAGACAGGGCTGCTGCTTTCCCTTGTAGTGCTTTTGTGGAAATTAGAAAGAGTTGACCTTTTGGGCATACAGATCCTACCTGATAAGCAAAGCTCAGGTTGAATTTTAGTTCCCACTTTTCCTGCCTCTGCTGGTCCTTGTTCAGCACATGACATGCACAACTATGGAAGAATCCTCATTCTGGATTATTCTACTTTCTTACTCACATAGGATCAATTTTCAACACATAAATATCCTGTAATCTGCAACTCCTTTTTCTTCTCTGCTTAATCGTTCTTTAAATTACTTAATGCAGAAAAAAGTCTACATGTTATATATGTGTGCTTGCTATAATGATACAGTGAACACCAGGAAACTTAGTACCTTTCCAAGAGCCAGAACATTATTATCATCTTGCCATCCTTTGGGACCCTTCCTCTCTCTGCCCTAGTTCATGCCCCAATTGTATCTCATTTTATTGCTATAGCCTCGTGGTAGACTTCAACACCCCAGTATGTTCATGTTAATCCTCAAAGCATATTACCACAAATGTACCATTTCACTCCCTTGAATAAAACTCTTTGTAGATTTTCACTCATTAGAAAAGAGCTCCTAAGTTGCCTAGCATGCCAGGAAGGCTGTCTGAGTTCTGTCATCCACATGTGTGCCAAGCCCAGTCTTGCCACTTCAGAGTTTAGGCAGAACCAAACTGTGGTTGCCCAAACAGCTCACTCAGCTGCTCGATCTGCATGAGGCACAGCTGCATGTGCATTGTCCTGCCCAGCAAGTCCTTTCATGTTTTCTGGAGCATCTCCCTCTATGTCTCTCTCTTAGCAGACTGCTAGCTCTTTGAAGACAGCAAATACATCTTACTTATTTTTGTTTCTAATTCAGTTTTTGGAGCATATCAGGGCTTCAAATGTTTGAACTGAAATGGTGAGGAAAGTTTATCTAAATATCTTCTTGAGTGATGCCAAACGTTCATTCTAATGTTTGTTTTAGATTCAACTGGTCATCTACACATTTGTTCTGGAGGCCTTTTGATATGTATATTTAATGTATATATTTTTGTCACGTAAACACAACCTCTGGGTTAGTTTCTTAATGTGAATCCATACAGGGAATATGACAGTTAAAACAGGAAATAGTGTTGGTTCCCTGCCCCACTGCTTTCAACATAATTAAATGAACTCAAAGGATCTGCTTCCTATCATGTAAACTCACCTTACATGCAGCATTGTCCTAGGGCGCTCTTGGATAAAGTTTTAGAAATTTCATTAGCACCCAGTGTATCTTCTCTTTTGTTCCCCTTTCATCTCTGACTTTTTTTTTTTCCTCTGCCACTCAGATTCCTAATACTCAACAGCTGCTGTTAGGGTCAGCTGAGGCTCCCATCACTCTGTGCTCGAGGGAAATTTCACTTGTAACAAGGTTTCCTCTCTACATTCTCTGACTTTCAGTTTACCCTTCTTCCAGGGCCACCATTTATTACTGACTATCAAGAGGGAAGAAATCTCATTACATTAATTCA